CAGTTCCATTGTACGTGAAATTATTCTTGTTTTTTTTAAATATTAATTTAGTAATTTAATTTCAAATGGATTTTCAAACTGTTCAAAAAGTTTGCGGTCGTTTGGGGTAAGATTTTTAATTAGGGATGCACCGGTTCCTGCAGATTTTCCAGTACTTGCCCGATACTGATACTTTTATTTTTGGTACTTGCCGATACCGAGTACCGATACCAATATTTTCATTGCATTTGTAAATTTTTTAAATATTGGTTACAGAATTTTTTTCCTTTTCTTTCTGTGTGGTTTGTGTTTGTGTATGCATGAGTGTGTATGAGTCTATATAATATTTCAACTCACCGAAAGGACTCAAAGCAACCATCAGAAACAACCCTTGGCCAAACCACACTTTTTCTTGTGCTCTCTTTCTCCCACACACATTTCAAGATAGAATAAACTTTACAGAAGTTTCACTCCAGAACACTGGAAACTGCCTGAAGCTCACAAAACCTCCCCGACCTGTTCTGAGCATGAAGAATTACACTAATAGAGTAACAAATATCTGCTTGTTTTCTTTAACACTCTTGGATTTCATGGCCGGTGAACTCCGATGAACTCGACATCATCTGCTTTAAATCGTCTTTTTAATTCTGAAACTAGAATTGCATTTCCTGCAGGAACTATCAGTGCGTGCAGGGCAGCAAATGAATTAATTTGTAGGTAAGACTAGGATTTAGACTTTGAGATGCTGCATCAAAGCCACCTTATACATGTACGCTCCTGTTCAAAATGTTATTGGTCGGTAAGATTTCTGATCTTATGCTCACCAAGGCTGCATTTTGATCTAAAATGCTGTCAGAACAGCAATATTTAGATATATTATTGCATTTTAAAATAACTGTTTTCTATTGTGATATATTTTAAAATGTAATTTATTCCTGTGATGCAAAGCGGAATTTTCAGCAGTCATTACACCAGTCTTCAGCATCACATGATCCTTCAGAAATCATTCTAATATTCTTAGATGCATAAAACAAATGATCAATGTTAAAACAGTTGTGCTAGTTAATATTTGGTTAGGATTTGGTCATGTTGTTGTCAGTATTCCTCAGCTTTCTGAGTAATATTAAAGACAGACAGTAGAGAAGTGGAGCAAATTAATGCTGTGGAGCTTGTCATTTTTTTCTTAAAGTATAAAATTCATTAAAAAAAAAATGAACTGAACTTTAAGGAAATTCTGGAGAAGAATAAAATAAATTTCAATACATTGCAGCCTTACAAGCAGATCTGTTGCTGGTATATTTCCACCGGTATTGCTTTGATACAATATTTGCACATTTTCTCTAAGTATCCACATATGGTAAACAGTTTTTATTACTGGGGATGTTTACCCATAATGCCCCTGTGGAGGGAAATCCCAGATTCCTGGTGTGAGGAGATGTTGTCATGTGTGTGACGTGCTCATTCAGCCAGCAGAACTTCTGCCACTGGCTTCCATTGCTTTGCTGTGGTTAAATGTTCAGGCCTCCGGGCATTGCCAGAACATGACAGCAATGAATAAAAACACTTCACAAACCAATCTGTGAAAGGAGGGGCGAAGGAATTAGCCCCGGGAACATTGAACAACCTTCTCCCCACTTGTACCGTCTCTGCCAGCAGTTGTTATTAGTAATCACTTCTGGTATGTCTTCGTGTTGCTTCAGTTCAAATTTATTTGCAATTCATCATAAGAGCTATTTTTGGTGATCTTCAACTTTATGTCCATGCACTGCCATTTTGAATAAGTAATCAGGAATGTGTTGTCAGTTTTGGCTGTTTTCACTTTGTTAGCTCTGTTCCAAAACCAGTGTCTGTTGTCTACATAGGCAGCATTCTAACTGAAATGGAACCTTATAAGTGACAGGCAGCAACAAATTGCAATCGTTTCAGACTTTGATGCCAGCATGTTGCAAAGCTAAAATCATGATACTATAACATTTTTGTCAGTATTGAATGAAATATCTCTTTATAATCCTGTGTAATCTTAGTTCACTTAGCATATTGCAATGCGTTCTGGCAGTGTTCTGTTCATTAAGGAGATATTTGATGCTTTCTTGGAATTCGATCAAAATGAGGTATCAGCATAATGTTGCTGCCTAGCTTTGCAGCCTTCATGTCAATAGCAGGACTATGATTACTTTAAAGTGCTGTCTATGTAGGCAGCAAACTTGGTTTGGGAACAGAGCTTTTGGCATTTGTCATCTCCGTACCCAAAGATCTCATCACAGACTTTGTGATCTTCTGTTGTGTGTTGGTCATCCTATTTTTGGTGTAGAGAGTTTAATATAACTGTCCAACTCTGCACTATTGAGTCACAGTAGCCAGACAGAGAAATTGCCAAAACTTGCCCAAGTGTTTGTTTTCTTTGGGAGAAAGTACATGAAATGTGGTCCTACACTGTCCTGCAGCGATGCCAAGCTAAAAAAAACAGCTTTTCAACAAGGTGATGCAATGTTCATTCTCAGTCATCCTCTATGAAAATCAGAGAACCTGCTGTTATTCAGTTCATAGTCAGACTTTTGACAAACAGCATAAAGTCTTAGTCCACATTTCAGCTTTTTCTGTCTACCTTGACAGGAACACACTATTTCAGCAACACATAAAGTGAGTTTATTACATTTTACATGCCATTTAGCAGAAACCGTGTAGAATTTCTAGTAATCCATAGTTCGTATTTGGGAGACATAATTTCTGATCACACAGACAACTTGGAAAACAAAGCGGAGTATGCTATTCAATTTGTGCAAATCTGGTTTGTCGACAAAAACCCAATAAGATTTTTCCATTGACTTTTGCATTATTGCAGAAAATAAGTGACCATCAAAAGTGAATGATTCTACTTTTTTTTGCATCATGTTACTTTTCGCAAATGAACATGACTTTGATTAATTTGGCCTGAATATATTTGCTAGAAGTAAAAAGCTAAACGCAGGCTATAAACGAACTATACCAGGGTCATGACTTCAACGCCACCACCGCAAAGTCTCCAACAACTCTTTAAATCTTAAAAAAAAAAAAACAATGTTCCCTGAAAGTTTGAGTTAGAATAGTTTGCATGAGCACGATTATAGACACGAGTCTGTGAAAGCAACTAGTGGATTAGGCCTTTTCACTCTGATGCATTAAATGAATGCCTAAAAAGCACTATAGTCCCATTTAGCTGCTTTTCAAAACAAGTTAAAACTTTAAAAATGGCACAAATGGATATTACTGATGTATGTCGTAGAATAAAATGAGAAAATATCTTGAGCTTGTGTTCACCACAAACCTTATTTCATTTCTGGGTTTTGGCTTAAGAAAATATGTCATCCCTGCAGCACTCTTTCGGTTTAGCCTTGTAAATGCAATTTGGTTTCCTAATTCCAAAAAAACTCTGTTCTTACTCTCAAAAGTTGCACAAAGTCAGCCAATCAGATTAGATCTTGCTAGATTGAGAAGTTCAGATGGTCAGTAAGCAGACTGTGGGTGGTCCGTGGACGTGCCGCCTGCAGCTGAGACTATTCAGTACAGCACAATCTTAACTTCATCTACCAATCAATGAATTAAAATGCATGAGAGAGAAAGTTATGTTGAAATGGATGCTCTTGCAATCTCTTCCTAGATGCATTAAATTTCCTTTATTTTGCAGTCGAAACAGCCAGTAAAAGAGCTTCATTCACACAGCACAATCCCCCCCCACACACACACACACAAGTATAGTAAGTCGATCTATCAAGGTAAGTCTGTGCTGGTGTTGAGTTTCTCTCTGGTGAGCTCAAGGTCGAAGGCTTTTGGCTACAGAATCTGTCCCCCAATCGCTTCAGACAAACGGAGCCCCTCTCACCTCCTGTGACAGTCATTTGACCTCTTCACCTCTTTATCGTGCACATAAAAGGTGTTTGTGCCCGGCTCCATTGTAGGACTGTGAGTACCAGCAGGATTTACATCGCTATAGGGCCTTTCGCACCGCTTTAGTTCCAGAGCTAAATGTACAGTACTAAAGTGCTGGGACGATTTTGCGTAAACTATTTCCCAGTACCATTTAAAGGGTTGCATTCGCACCGAGAGGAAAAGCTTTGATCACCTCTGAACCGGCCCTTCAAAACACTAACTTGTACACGTGCACATCAGTCTCTTTTTACTAATGTGATTCTTCTTTCTTTCTTTTTTTTCTTTCAAGTAAAATCACTGCACAGCCTTAAGTAGCAACATGATAAAAGAGCAATCTTTATAAAATAGCCTAGTTAAGTGTATTAGTATTAATCATCAGAAAAAAATTCTTCTGCAGGTAGGTTCATTAGTTTAAATGTCTGTGGTTTAAATAGCAATTTGGCACATGTGTGCATTAATTAGCAATTTACAGCGGCTTTGAATGTGGTTTATTCAGTCAGTAATTAAGAGTCGGATTTTGTAATGAGAAATTACTTGTAACTCTTATTAGATACAATATTTAGAGTTTGAAGAGCTGATGTTAATTTTGTTTTAAAGTTTTGTACTTGTGTGTTCATTGGTGCTTATATCATGGCATGAAATGATTGTAGGAAAGTTGACAAAAATGTTGAAATCTTTCTTTATTAAGGTGTTAGTACTTTTATTAATTAGAAGTGTATTTCTTTAATACAGATTCTAACCTTCTCAGAATAGATTCCTAAACTATTGTATAGTCTGCAGTTGACAGTTACTCTCTAAGGGCCCTATTTTAACGATCTAAGCGCATGGTCTAAAGCGCACGGCGCAGGTGCACTTAGGGCGTGTCCGCATCCACTTTTGCTAGTTTAAGGACGGGAAAAATGGTCGGCGCGCCCGGCGCATGGTCTAAAAGGGTTGTCCCTATTCTCTTAATGAGTAATGGGTGTGTTTTGGGCGTAACATGCCATAAACCAATCAGAGTCTCATCTCCCATTACCTTTAAAAGCCAGTTGCGCTCGCGCCATGGCAGATTCGCTATTTACATGGCGGAATTTACAAGCGGAAAAACCGTCGTGCGCGTAATTCTGATACATGTAAAGACTATCCATTATGACATGTAGGCATTTTATATTTATGTACACAATAATAATCTTTTACAATGTACATTTTAAAAAATGTTTGTGTGCTGCTGCATGTCCCTGTGTGTGTAATACGAAAAGTGTACGCGCGTTGTGCACCCGTCTATAGGCGCATATTACTAACGCGCTCTTTAAATAACAACAAAATTATTGCGCCAGACTTTAGACCAGGTTTTTGTTGGTCAATGTCTATTTCAGTTGCCTCAAAATAGCAACGTGCCAGCAATGCGTCTGAACACACCTCGTATTCAGACCAACACGCCCATAGGCGCACAAATGGGCACAAATGCATTTGCTATTTAAACAACGTGGCGCAGAATGTGAAAATGACAACTGCGTCGGGCTGAAACTAGCAAAAAACACTTGCGTCGCGCCTGGCGCCGCATTGCGCCGGGTGTATGATAGAGCCCCAAAACTATCCATAGAGGTTTGATAATATTCAAGCCAGGTGATTTATCTGGCCAGAGCAGATGTCGAAGTTCATTTTGGTGCTCCAACTGTCCAGGTTTTATGATCGTGACACCATCGTTTTTGCATTTTAACATTGGTGTCTGAGATTGAAGGTTTATCAGTTGCAGCTTTTTCATGGATGTTGGCTTTGTGAAGCTCTCTGTGGTTGGTTTTTGTGCATAGCATAGCTTCTATTCATATATTACTAATTACTGTTTTCTTTTCTCTCTCTCGGTTTTTGTCTATATCTGCATAGGTATGCTATACTCTGTGGGCTCCTGTCAGAATATGAATCTATTCAGAATAAAATAAAAAATGGTTATCTTTTTAAGGTGAGTATGCATATTTGTTCTTTACACAATGTTCACGTTTCTTATGTTTTGATTGGATGTCAAATGTGTAGACAAATATAGGTTAATTGCTAGGTTTTAGAACATTACACTTAATAATATATATATATATATATATATTAAAAAAAGCAATTTAAATATATCAAATACACATTTTTCCCCCTGTATATTTTCAGTCCAGGATGTTTAAAGCTTAAATACAGACAGCAGAATATTTGAGCAGTTCAAATGGACTGTTTACTGCTAGGCTGATGTCAACATATGGAAGTAGTTACTTCCACTTTTAATTATTTACACATTTATTCCTGTGCTTCATGTAGAGAAGAGTTAAAGGGCAGTAAATGATATGGTGATCTCAGCCAAAAGGTCGTTTCAGTTGATTTCAGTGCTTGTATGTGTTGATGGGAGCATAGCATCAGCTTCTGTGAGAGTTAGTGTTTATAATCTTATCTGAGACGAGAGGAAATGGAATGAGGGTACCACACACACACACACACACACACACACACGTATTTCATAAGAGCAGATCAGTCTCTGATACACGTAGCATTTTATGTTAGCTGTCAGCTAGATTTCCAAACACCACACACCTGCACAGCCCTGGCAGGTGAGCTAGCAGAGAGGGAGAGAGGAGCTGAATGACAGATGCCTGTGGTGGGTTTTTCTGTGTTCGTGCGAGTTCAGGAGAAATATTTGCGGTATCTCAGCTGTAGAGATGAGCAAAAAAGACAAGTCGTGCCACATAGAAAGAAACCTCTATCTCTCTTCCTTTCTCTTGCTCTATGTCTCAAGGATCATCTGGATAAAGCAATTGAGCTGAAACCTGAAGATCCTCTGTCTTATTACTTGCTGGGCCGCTGGTGTTATGCTGTGAGTGACAGAGCGTTTGCTATTAGTGTGTTTGGGATATACATGACATTGTGTTAGTTAAAGCCTGAATCAAGGTTCCCACGCTCATGGAAAGCTTGGAAATATCAAAGACTGAAAGGCCAAACTTTATAACAAATTTTTTTTATATACATTTCTATAGTGAATAATATACACTACCATTCAAAAGTTTAAGGTTGAAAAGATTTTTAATGTTTTTGAAAAAAGTCTCTCGTATGCTCACCAAGACTGCATTTATTTAATCATAAGTCTAGTAAAAACAGAAATATTATTACAATTTAAAAGAACTGCTTTCAATTTCAGCATAATTTAAAAGTTGTAATTTATTGATGGGATATTAAAGCATTACTCCAGTCTACAGTATCACACAAAATTATTCAGAAATCATTCTAATTTGCTGTATGTTGAACGCTTCTTAATATTTTTGTGGAAATTGTGTCTTTGTTTGTGTGTGTGTGTGTGTTTTCAGGATTCTTTAGTGAATAGAAAATTCAAAGAACAGCATTATTTTAAATTTTTCTAAAAAAAAAATTCTTTTTATGTATCCTTACTAAATAAAAGTACTGATTTCTTTTTAAAAAATAATTCTTACTGACCCCAAACTTTTGAACAATAGCATACATATTTACAGTGAGTGCATTCTGTGTAATGATGAAAATAAAAAATAAATAAATACAATTTGGGGCTTGGAAAACTCATTGGTCAAAAATGTTTAAAGACTGCTATATTCTGACTGACTTGAGTGCTGCAAAAAAAATCATTTTTTATTTCAGTAATTTTTTTTACAAAAATTAATTTTCTCATGCAATCCAGATTTTCAAGTAAATTGACTTGTATTCAGTGAATATATATTGATTAAGGTGTTTCTTAATGATTTTATTATAAATGGTTTTTATTAATTAATTAATTAATTAATTTATTTATTTATTCAGCCAATAGGCCTATCTGTATGTTGATAAGTGGAGTTCTTGTTCATTTTTACTTTGTCCATAAACATGTTGTGTGCAGGTGTCACAATGTACGTGGATAGAGAGGAAAATCGCTGCTACTTTGTTTGGAGAGCCACCCAGTGCCACAGTCCAGGATGCCCTGCAGAACTTCCTCAAGGTGAGACCATTGGGTCATTTGATCATTGGGACACACTAGTGATTGATTGTGTAAAGAGGCCAAGCAGTTGAATAAATATATGAAGTTTGTCATGAATATTTGGGTAGCTGATAAGAGCTACCAAATAACAAATGTTGACTATAATCATAAAATGAGTTATTTAAGATTAAAATCGGTTTTATAGCAAATATGACCTATTTTTATTTGGCTTATTTGTTAAATTTCCACCAATTTGTAGGTAGACACATTTTTTTTATGTCTTGCTGTAGAGGGATTTGTCTTAGAGGTCCTAGTTTAAATAACAAACCCTGTTCATTTCTGAAAGCGCTTGACCTGTGTTCCTACATTCAGTGTTTTTACATAAGTTGCTCTCTCCTCTGATGTTCTCCTGTCCTTTGTATCTCAGCCATCACTTCTTATTTAAGGGGTCTGTGCTTAGACTTGTTGCACCCTGCCAAGACAACACAACATTCTGGAGAGTTATACAACAGCACGACTAATTAAAGGAAAGACATGGGGAGTTGCTCTTCGTCATTAATCATAAATAGTCTAATTTTGTGCAAAAAAACAGAAATATACCAACAGCTTATGACCAAATAATGTATTGTCTCTTCATTCACTTACTGAGTGATCCACCTTCATACAGAATCCAGCTTTACATGCTACATGGCCAAAAGTATGTGGAAATCCCCTTCACAGTAATGTTGCAGCTACCCCTATTACTAGTACAGTAGGTGCATAAAATCAAGCATCAGTACAGCCATGATCTCTTTAGGCTTTTTTAGTTGAATGTAACATACATGGTACTGCATTATAATTTACAAAGTGAGGTTCATGCAGAAATGTCATCTAGTGGAAATCTTTCATAAAAGAGTGAAAGCTGGAAATGCATTTGGTTTTAAATTGAAATGTGCACATACCCTACAGTTCAAAAACTTTTTTTTTTTTTTTTTTTTTTAAAAATTAAAAAATCTTACATTTTCACCAAGGCTGCATTTATTTGGTCAGTAAAAACAGTAATATTGTGAAATATTATTACAATGTAAATTAAAATTACTGTCTTTTTAAATATACAGTAATTAATGCTTATATTCAGCAATTATGCATTAAATGGGTCAAAGACATTTCCATCAAATGCAAAGACATTTGCATTTGCAAAATTCTGATAAATAAAAAAATTCAAATAAATGCTTTTGAACTTTCTATTCATCATAGTATACTGTTTAACATTGATAAATAAAATGCATTTTATGTTTAATATATTAAAAGAAAAGTGGTTAATTTAAATTGTAATACTGTTTCACAATTTTACTGTTTTTAATGTATTTTAAGCAAATCAATTCAGCTTTAGTGAGTATATAAAAAAAAAACAAATAACCCTTTTTTCCCCCAAAACATCTTACCAACCCCAAACTTTTGAATGGTAGTATAAGTGTATGATTTTTGGCTGCATACTTTTGGCAGTGTAATTTATCTAAAATCTAACCACCAAATGTGCTGTCATGAATAATAGAGTTGTTCCAAAAATGATATTTAGCTCTTGGTTTTTGTTTGCAACTGCAGGATTTTGTTGATTTTAAGAAAATGTGTTTTAATATTTATTTTTTTCTTTCACCCAAGAGGAACCCCAGAAGCCATATTAAATATTAGATGTACAATTTAAAATACAAGTTATTTATTTATTTATTTATTTGTTTTTGCTATAGTGGGTAAGATGTTAAAACTAAAGAAACACTTAAAAAAAAAAAAAAAAGACTTTAAATCTAAAGAAAACTATGGAAAACCTAGAAATATGAGGAAAAAGCCCTAGGATTTTCTTTGTAAAATCCTCATCCAATAATCATAAATAGCTGAAAAATTATGTAAATGTCATAAAAAATCTGTTTATCAAAAGGTGTAGGAACCCTGTAGTTTACTTTGTCGAAAACATAACCTCATATATGTGGCTACTGCAGTGTTTATATTTTGTGTGATTGTGTAAATCTCGTAAATGTCGACAGTGTTATTTATTGCTCTGATTATAGAGTGGAGGTTTACTGCCTGCAATGTTAATTTTTTAATATCTCATTTAACACGTGAAGTGTTTGAAAACGTACCCTAGACGTTTGCCTGCCAGCAGTGCAGTCCTTCTTTCAAGAGAGATGTGTTTTTCATGATCTCATTTAATTAACTACACCTGAAATACAAAAGATCTGTTACATAAACAGTCTGTGTTTAGACATCAACAGTCTGTGGTCAATAAATAATTTCAGTTTGACTGTAAATGACAGATTGCATTTGCTATGTTTGTCCTGTGTTTGATTCTACAGGTAGAAGAGATCAGTCCCAAGTATTCAAAATTCAACTATGTGTTTTTAGCCAAGGTAATGACTTCAGGTCTTGACTATTTTATTAATGAACTGAATATCGATTAATAATGACATTTGGAATTTTGTTGGCTCTGTTCCAAACCTAGTGAGCTGCCTTGCTGAAAACCACCTACATAGACAGCTACCTTCCAAAGCAGCATCCTAACTATATTAAATATTAACCAATATAGAATGTTCTACTTGTAACAAAAAAAAGTGATTTCAAATAAATGCCTTTTTTTTTTTTTTAGATGTTCTATTCATCAAAGGATCCTGAAAAAAGTATCATGGCTTTCACAAAAAAAAATATTAAACTGCAAATACCTTTATCAACATTGGTAATAATATGAAATGTTTCACCAGTTATTTTAAATTGTAATAATATTTCACAGTATTGTCCCGGTGCGACGAGACAAAACCAATAAAACCCATTACAAACTAGGCATTTGTTGCATCCAGTGGGTTAATAATTAAGTGTTACCTGCTATGTACTTAAAAAAAACTGAAATCTCCTAAATTATTTGTAATGGTTACATTTTAATAACATGTCAAATCCACATTTAAAGTTTACAGAAGTGGAATAATAAATGTTGCTGTATTTTTGCAGGCACGCTCAGCTAATGTTTGCTAAATACTATTTTTATCTCATTATTTTTAATCACACTGCAGTTAAAAAATTTGGGGTCAGTAATTATTTTATTTTATTTATTTACTGGAAATAATTTTTTTCAGCAAGGATGCATTAAGGGCACATTTCAACTTTTATTCACCATAGAATCTTGTAAAAGCTTGTGGAAATGTTTCATGGTTCCCACAAGGCGCACAGCTGTTTTCAACATTAAAAAACAATTTAAAATATATTCAAATAGAAAGCAGTTAAATCGTAATAATATTTAAAATGATCACTGTTTTACTGTATTTTTATCAAATTAATGTAGCATTGGTGAGATTAAGAGACTTTCAATAAACGTTGAAAAATCTTAACTTTTGAATGGTAGTACTGTATGAAATTGACATTTCTCTAATGTCTTCCACCAACTTCAGTGAATGCATTTTTTTTTTTCACTGAGTTTTAGATAATCTTACATAAGTATGCAACACACTTCTACTGTCTACTTGGGCACGGCACTAGATTTTGAAACTGAGCCAGTAAAGCCTTTAAGGAACATTGAGAACATTGTAATGTGTTACTGTAACTGCGCCTATATCACTTTTCTCTTGTCAGTGTTACAAAGACTTGGGTCAGAGGAGTCAAGCCCAACAGATGTGTGACGCTGCCTCTGCAATGAACATTCAGACTAAAGAGGTGTTTTCTTATTCTGATGAATCTGATTTATTTTGTAGTTTTGAGTCTCTTGCCTTTGTAATTCTTTGTTTGTGTGTGTGTGTGTGTGTGTTTTCTTTAAAGGATGAGGAGGCACAGAAGGAATTGGACTCTTTTGTTGCATCACTTTAACAAGTCTCCAACAAAAGCTGTCTGTCTTTGTGTTCCGTCTCTTTGAACTCGACTGTGACTGCACTGTAGCTGTTTACACACAAACCAACATATGAGCTACTAATGTTGGCCAGGCCACGTTATTCCTCTAAAAAAGGGGAGACCAGCAGCAATATATTGTTTATTTTTAGTTTATGCACAAAATACTGTAAGTTTCTATTGAATTTTTTTGTCTCCCC